GCCATAGGTATTTGTTTGTTTGTAACTGCCTCTCGAAGCCTCTGGGCCAGGCCTCTCACGTGAGGGGTGACCCAGCACTCCACAGCGGTTGAAACAACGAACAGATGTTAAAACAGGCAACCAGACCTTTCCATTTTCCAAACCATCCTTCTGACCGGTCTGTAAAAGGACCATTGATGCCAGAATTTTCTGCTAATTCATTAGCTAAAGTGGTGAGTCCCTGTAGAGCTTTAGTAACAGTACCATCAGGGGCAGTATTATTTGGAATAAAAGCACATTTTCCCCCCAACATGACACACACTCCCCCTTTTCCTGCCAACACCGTGCCCATTCCTCTCCTGTTCTCCCAGGCCACCTGCTGGCACCATCCAGTTGGCTAGTGGCTCTCTGAAGAGCGTCCCTGGCATAGTTAATAGACCTTTGTTGATTAAATATAATGGATCCAATCTACGTTTTTGTTGATGGCAGACCACCAAGGGTGCTGGTTTGAACCCCGCAGTTTTGAATTTATCAGGGACTCCCGTAGAGTCAATGTCTATATACATATGCATCAAAGGATCCTTGTCATGCTCTACAATTTCTAGAGAAATCCCTTCCCTTTGGGTGTGGAGAGAAATGCCAGGGCAAATGGAATAGGCAACCGGGCCAAGGCCCAAGGCCCAGCCCAGTTGGACGGCCACAAGTTGGGCAGGTTCCTCCTTCCACAGTAGCACCAAACATCTGCTCAGGGAATACATAGGCTTGAGAAGTTGCCCTCTCTAGAGACACTCAGGAAGTGGGTACAAGTCAGCCAGTTCCCCACAGGAGTGGTGAGACCTTCCCCTTGCCTAGAGAGACATGAGGAGAGATGCGTTGTCCCTATGAAAAAAGAGGGGGTTGCCCCCGGGGCTGACTTCTATGGTACAGGAAAGAGTAGAGACAAGCTCTTGCAAGTCTCATCTCCCCAAGCATCCTTGTCCTGACATAGGGCCAACATGCAGTTCATCCCAGTGGGGTCCGTGTCCCAGCCGAGACGGAACGGGACCACCTGCACCTGTGGTGGTCCTGCACCATATGCATAACAATCGCTTTTGTTCAAAGCTAGTGCTGAAAATTTGACCCATTCTACCCAGGCATCGGTGTCTCCATGAGCTGTCTCGATTTCAAGTGTTTTACATTTCTGACTTCAATACTGTAACTAATTTGGGATCATTCCAGGGAGGTTCTGGCTCACTCTTTACACCTTAGGGCTGGTAACATCTGCACCGGTACATCCGCACCGAACCTGTAAACATGAGGAGAGATCACAGGGTCTGAGTCTAAGTCTTGAGGTTTACTTATAGTTAACAAGAAGGGGTTACAGTGTTTGTCCTGGAAATTCTCAGGAGGAATTTCCTCTGGACAAATGTATTTTGGCTTTTAAGGGTCTTGAGTTCTGAGATCCCCACCTTAGGTTGGCAGTCCACCCCTGGGATTCGGAAGTCCACCACACATCGTTCCAGCTTCGGCAAGGATAGGCTGCATAGGCGGCCCTGGCTGGGACTTGGTTCAGGGCAGAGGTATTTGTCTGCCTGTGAAAGTTGCTTTGATTTTCTAAGCTCCTGCAGGGCAAAACCTGTCATGCATCAGTTTGGGGTGTTGAAGATTTTGTCACAATAACTACTAGTTTAATTGGAAATCCCCATGAGTTGAAGGCTGTGTATATTGAGGTTAGGGCTTGCCAGCTGCTAGCCGCCGTAGTGGTATGTGCGATGGCCCACCCCACCCACCCCACCCACCAAACAAGAGGCCAGCCCATCCCACTACTTGCCTTTCTTCTTAGGGTCACTCTTAAAGGTTCTTCTGGGGATTTATGTTATTTACCACTGATCTTTGACCCCTTTTTGTTTGTTTATCAGCTGTTTTACTCGGGTGTAGTGAGCCCACCCTTTTTCAGCAGTCTCGGTGGTCAGGAGCCCTCAGCAGGGACCCTCCCAGTTGGACTGAAGCCGATCTTCTTTCCAGGACTTTATCAGCACCAGGTTTCCGGGCTGGACACAGTGAGTGAAGAACTCAAGAGAGGGAGTCTGGGCGAGGCGCCCTTCCAACCTGAGAGAAGATAAGGTAGAAGGCATGGCCAGCACACACCCCCTTAGCGACTGATCTTCCGTTTCCATGGTGGGCAAGTCTGTTGCCCTTCCTAGGTATGGTAGCCCATGTAATTCATAAGGGGAAATTCCTAAATCCTTTTGGGGAGCAGTTCTAATCCTTAGGAGAATTATAGGAAGACATTTAGTCCAAGGCAGAGTAGTTCCTAATACTTACTTGGTTAAATATTTGAGAGTCTCATTCACTCTATCGACCTTTCCAGAGGACGGCAGATGCCAGGGAGTATGGAAATCCCATTGTACCTAGACTGCCATCATTACTCCTTGTAATACTTTTGAGGTAAAATGACTCCCATTGTCTGAACCAACATTTTCTATTAACCCAAGCCTAGGAATCACTTGTTGTAAGAGTACTTTTATTACTAATCCTGCCATTGCAGTTGTTAATGGGTGAGCCCTTACCCATTCAGTGAGATGGTCAACAATCACTAATAAATATTTAAGATTTCCCACTTTCTGCATCTCAGTAAAGTCAATTTGCATACTGTGGAATGGTCTTATTTCCGGGAGTCTCCTTCCAGGTCCTGGCTTTTTTCATACTTTTTTGGTTAATTCTTTGGCACCTTATGCAACTCTTACAAACCTGTTTAGCAATGGTGTAAATACCAGGGCGTCCAGAAACTTTTAGCAAAGCGTCACAGATGGCCAGTGGCTCCCTCTGTGTACATGTTCCCAACTCTCTTACGATCATTTCTCTCCCACCAGGTAAAGGCCACTGTCATGTCTCATCTCGAGACGCCCCCACCTCCTGTAGCTCCTTAATCTCTTTCTTGGAAAACTTTGGGATCAAGGTAGTTTTAAGGATATCAGGAGACTCAAAAGTCTCATTTCATCTTCAGATGCAGCCTCTTTAGCGGCTACATCAGCAATTCTATCATCTGTTGCTTTGTAAGAATTTCCTTTCTGGTGACCATTCACATGGGTTACAGATATTTCAGCTGGAAGTAAGAGATTTTCCAGAACCTCCTTAATTCATTTCCAGTGAATTAATTCCCTTCTTTTACTGTTTATGAGACCTCTTTCTGTCCAAATTTTTCCAAAGGTATGGGCCACTCGGAAGGCATATTTGAGGTCTGTGTAAATCGTGCACTCCTTATTTGAAAGTAGTTTTAAGGCATGTTAAGGGCAAACAACTCAGGTTTGGGCTGACTGATTGTTGGGTAATCTCCCTCTTCACAGACAGGTAATTGTCATCAATGATAGCACAGCCATTATGGCGTTTGCTATCTATCATCTGAGAGGGCCTGCTATCAACAGTTTCATATACCCACATTTAGAGGTGTTCTCCTTAAATTAGGCCTGACTTTAGTCTGATAATCATTCTATGAGGTCCATGCAATTGTGACTCAGTTCTGATTGGCCTTCAGCCTCCCCTGCACATAGGAAGCTGGTCAGATTGAGACAGGTGTCTGTGGTTAAGATCAGATCATCTTTTTCAAGTAAACTCGCTTCATATTTTACAACTTGAGAATCTATTATCCAGCGCCCAGCCCACTGATTAAGTTAAGTATGACCCGAACCTGGTGAGGACTACTGACCAGAGGGTTCCTCCGAGTTAATTTCCTGCTCTCTTCCACGAGTAAGGCCGTGGCTGCCATGGCCTGAACGCATTCAGTCCATCCTCAAGAGACAGGGTCCAGTAGTTTAGACATAAAGCCACCGGTTGTTTCTTTCCTCCCCAGGCTCGGGTCAAAACCCCTACAGCGGAACCTTGTTCAACCGCATCAAACAAGTGAAATGGCGTCTCTGAAGACAGGAGTGCCAGGACTGGGGCGGTGACTAAGGATTGCTTTAATCGCTCTAGATTTGCAGTTCCCCTGGAGTCCACTGGAGAGGGTCTGGCTCTCCCTCCAACAATTTAAGAGTACAAGCTTCTAGCTTTTTGTGTGTCAGAGTCAATCCATAATCTACAATAACCCACTATTCCCCCAAATTTCTAAGTTCTTCTAAGACGGATTCTAACATTTGACTGAACAAGTTGGGGGCCTCCGTGAAAACTTGTGGCAACATGGTGCAGTGATATTGCTGGGTTTTTTTCCATTTATGGGATTTTTCCCATTCAAAGGCAAAAAGGTCTAGTCTCTTTTCTTCCTCCTCTGTGAGGTATGTAAGCTATTAGAACCTTTATTCGGCCCTTCTCTATTCCTAGACCCACACCTAACTGAATAATTAAGCCCCTTCCCAAGAGATTGGTTCCTGCTTCCAGAAGATATATGAATGATCCCTCTGTAATCTCATTTTCTAATCTGATTACAGTTTTTTTTTCAAAAATAGGAACTTGGAATCCCTCCCCTTTGACTCCAGAGACTAAAAGCTTTTTGGGTCAAAAATTTCATTTTGTGGCTGAAAGATCAGGGAGGAATGGGCTGCCCCTGTATCTACTAAAAAGGTGTGTCGTCTTCTTTAAGCCCCACCTTTAGACTTATCAAGAGTTCCTGGTGGCATCTAACAAGGGGGAACCCCTGACTTCCCTGTTCTTCATCTAATGCCACGAGGGAAGTCACTTCTTTTTTTCCCCTTTCCATAAAGAGCATTCTTTTGAAGTGGCCTGGTTTTCCACACTTATAACATCCCCCCACCTTCTGTGGTCCTCTCTGATTCCCTGCCTTTCCCTGAGGTGGCCCCCCTACTCTTTTCCTCAATCACTTCCTCTGTAGTAGTCATCATCATTTTTGCTTTGTCTATGTCTTTCTTCATCCCTTTTGATAAACATTTTCTGTGCCTCTCTAAGCAGTTCCTTGATAGACTTTTCATTCCATCCATCTAGTTTCTGCAGTTTCTCGGTAATATCTGGCCAGCTTTTAGTTACAAAGTTTATGTTAGGGTCTAGGACTCCGGGGTTTCCCCAGAGAACAAGCCACACGGACACGGAGATGTAAATCCAAGCAAGGTCTTTATTCAGCCAGCAAGCTGGGGCCGACAGCACCTGCCCTGACTCGCAGGCCGAGTCCGAGCTGCCGACCCCCAAGCAACTTTAGGTAGGGAATATATAGGGTTTTCGCAGCCGTTGCACCGAAGCCCGCGCATTACCACAACCAATGAATTAAAAACACATTCTACATTTTAGCCAATGGAGTTGAAACGGGAATGCCCCCGGTTACCTAACCGCTTCCCGTTATCTCTACCTCACACAGCATGTCTTCGTGACTTATCACAGGTTATGTCCCGAGGCTACTGCCCACCTCTGGTTATCTGACTTAGGGCAGGCGTGTTAGCTTCGGGTAGTTTCTACGAAAACTGGGTGGCTATTGCTCTAGGGTTTCCTGACTCTTGATGCCCTCTGCCCTCCTTTACAGTTCCCCCCTTTTCTTGATCAGACTGAGGAATCTTCCACAGCGGCATCTAGGGCCTGATACTTTTGATGAAGGACCAGAAGTTGGACGGTGTTAATCCTTTCCCGTACAAACCTAAGCAGCCTGTTTATTATGCACGGACCAATAGTAAACAACAACAGCAGGATGCCCAGTGGCCCCGCAACGGCCGAGAGGAGGGTAGCGAACCAAGGCTTGTATTTGAACCAAGACTCAACCCAGCCTTCGTTACCTTCATATTCTTTATGCCGCTTCTCTAGATCCGTTTTTAGTTTCGCTAAGGAATCTCTGACTGCACCTGTCTTATCCACATAGAAACAGCACTCTTCTTTTAGGGCTGCGCACAGTCCACCTTCCTTTAAGAACAAGAGGTCCAGGCCCCTTCAGTTTGTAGGACCACCTCTGACAAGGAGGTGAGGGATTGCTCCAGGTCTGATATTGACTGTCGGAGTTGTTCTAGGTCCCTGTCGACTGCCAGCCTCAGGGCTGTGAGCCCTTTCTCCCGAGTTACAAGGGCTGCGACCCCAGTGCCTGCCCCTGCTATCCCTAGGGAGAAGAGGGTCCCAGTGGTCAGGGCGGTAACAACCTCCCTCTTGCTCCGGTGGGGGCTCGGCCTTTCTTCCCAATAAAAAAGGAGAGATTCATGAGAATGATACATTAGGCGAGGTAGAAGGGCCACCAGCACACAAAACTCACTGTTAGCATTGAACACAGAGGTGGATGGGGCCGGAGTGAGGCCTGTCTTTGAGCAGAGCCACCAGCCCCAGGAGGGTATAATCCACTTTCCCTGCTCCCACGTAGTGTTATTATAGGAGGAGCATAACTGGCTCTGGGTCGTCGGGACTGTGCCTACACACGTACCAGCGACTGAGACTTGAGCGATTGTAAGTCCCCACGGTCTCCCGTCCCAGTAAGTGGGATGGGAGTTGCTGATAGTGTAGGAGCCATTTATCCCGACTGACTCATAGAAGGGGGGTGAACCTGGGTAGCATAGCCAACAGGGATCGGTGAGGGAGGGATTGGTGTGGTTAAGAGTCTCTGCTATTGCCTGCACCATTTCCCACATAGGGTTATCTGACCCGGAGGGACCCAGACTCGGTCCTCTTGTGGGCTCTGGAATCAGGGCTACAGCACCTACTGGAACCAGGGCTATGGCTACCAGCAGGGCTACAGGCCAGGCTATGGCGGCTCCGACTACTCGCCCCATGGCTATTATGGCTACGGCCCCGACTACTACTACAGATGGGCCCGGGGCATGCGTTCCAGCAGTTGGCTGGCAGATGTGGCTGTCGGTGCCCCCCAAGGTGCCCCTCGGGGAGCTGAGCCAGGCGTGAGGTGCAGGCGTACGTCCGGTCAACATTTTCTCGTCCCTTTGGCCCAGGTCCTTGTTCTGATTTGAAGGTTTCTGGGGATGTATAACCTGTTGCTGGAGACGTACAACCGGGTTGGGCCCTATGAAGACGCTGCTGGGAGTTGACACGGCTAATTTGATGGTGAGGTTTGAGCCTTCATGCCCCCCATATTTATAGTACGCTATCCCCCATGTTAGTCCTTTTATCCAGCACGATACCTCAGTCTTTTTGCCCATCTCGGTGAATTGAATTCGTACCCAATCCTGGTCCCTTCGGTCACAAGCCTTGTCCTTGTAAAGGGCCATAGGCACGTGACGAGGGATGCCCTGGTTGACATAAGAAAATTTGACAGCATCCTTTTTTGTAACTGGCCATCTCCAATCCCCATCGTTCGAGGTCACACAGTCCCATTTGGCACACCAGAAGTCTCTTCCCGCCCCACATGACGCTCCTTTACCTGTTTCTGGGCAAGCATAAAATCCATGGGAGCGAGCCAAGTTTGGAGGGACGGTTCGGTAACTGTGGTTGATCTGTCGGAGGCAGAAAAACAGGTCAGGCCACCAGGTTCCGAGTGGCGCAGTGTGTTCTATGGTGCTGATGACCTCCCCAGTTGCCCCATTAACCAGCATCCAGGTCAGGTCCCATGGCTGATGAGGGTTGGTGCCTTCGAGCCAGGGGATGATGCCTGCCCCCAGCTCCACAGATGTGGTTCCCTTGACGGTCCATATTAAGGCGCTTATTAGCAGGATCTCCTTCATCTTCAGCTTAGGTGTAGTTTTAGGGGATCCACAGGATGCTGCTGCACCTTCCACTCTGAGGTACTCTAAGGTAGAGCCTTCCGAACGTGGGTGTAGTGCACCCATGGAGCGATACCATCAACCTTGAGAGCAGTGGGGGTGGTAAACAATACAACATAAGGTCCCTTCCACCTGGGTTCAAGAGTCCTTACTTGGTGTCTCTTGACCCATACCATATCTCCTGGGACTATGCCATGTTCCGGGCTCGGAATTTTCTCGCCCTCCTAATATGCTCTGATCAGGGGCCAGATTTCCTGCTGTACTCTAGCGAGAGCTTGCAACACAATCACATAGTCAGGGGCCGGGTCCTCTGCATCGGGAAGCTGCACTCGCCGAGTTATAGGTGGAGGGGCCCCACACATTATCTCAAATGGAGTTAAACCATGTACATAGGGGGAGTTCCGAGTGCGGAAGATGGCTAAGGGAAGGAGGGTCACCCAGTCCCCGCCAGTCTCCAATACCAATTTAGAAAGGGTCTCCTTCAAGGTCTGATTCATTCTCTCTACCTGCCCAGAGCTTTGTGGGTTGCAAGCACAATGTAACTTCTAATCTACCCCCAAAGCCAGGGCTAATCCCTGCAGGATTTTGCTAAGAAAAGCCGGGCCGTTATCGGAACCTATGGCTCCAGGGACCCCATATCTGGGGATGATTTCTTCAATTAATTTTTTTGCTACCACCTGGCTTGTTTCATGCTTGGTTGGAAAAGCCTCCATCCACCCTGAGAAGGTATCCACCATAACCAGCAAATACTTAAATCCGTACTTCCCTGGTTTTACTTCGGTGAAGTGTATTTCCCAGTTCCTCCCTGGAGCCCTCCCCCTTTCCCGGGTACCTGCCGGGTGCAGCCCTCTTGGGGCTGGTCTTAGC